TGGTTTTCGATTCATGGGCGAGGTTTTAAAACTGAATTTACCGCAACAGTCGGAACGACCGGTCTCCGCGTTCCTTGTTTATCAAATCGTCGAAATTATGAGAATTTTTTCTTACGAAACGATCGAACGAATTCCTTCGTTCGAAATTACGTTGCGATACAAATGCTGCAGAGCCTAAATAAATGATATAAATGATTAAATGAGCCTAAAAGTAGTAAATCTTGTTACAGTAATTTCTACCAGAAATGTTCGGTAGTCGCGATTTTTCGGGCCTTGCGGCTCGTTTTTGGAGTCTCCGATTGTCGACAATTATAAAAAGGGTGCAAGTTATAAAGGGTGCCGGTTATAAAAGGCTCGAAAAATCGTATTTCCTCTTCCCAAATTGTGCTTTTTTATTCACAATCTGAGCGTCAATTAGGGAGAATTTACTGTACCACGAGCACACTGCGAATCTTCGTGCAAAATCAAAATTGTCCGAATGCAAGTAACAGAAATAAAATGAAAGTGTAATAAGATTCTAACAATACAATAAATCCTCCCTAATCTCCCTCAACTTGCACACAAAAATTCCCGATTCCCAACAACTATAAAAACGAGCCGCAAGGCTCGAACAATCGCATCTCCTCTTCCCAAATTGCCAACTTTTATACGCAGAGCGTCCACTCAGAGACAATTTCCCGTAACCCGAAAAGACCGCTGAAACTTTCCACGTTCACGGATCCAGATGTGTTTGGACGTGGAGCAAGAGTGATACAAAGTTCCGCATCGTTCGCGAGTGATCGTTGAACAAGGGTCGCGTACCAAGAGGCCTCAATCTGGCCGAGGAGGACCAAATAAAAGCTGCTCGCTATCTAAACGTCTCTCGCTACTTGGAGCTTAAAATGAGAGGACGCAGCATGCGGGAAGAGCGAACGCTAGACCGAGTAAATTTCGTGGACTGACAGGAGCGTTTAAGTAATGTATGCGCCGCGGAAAGACGGTGGCACGGGAACGGCGCGCAGATACGGATCTGCTTGATCGTTCCTCGAGTGTCAGCAGGGCTCGCTCCGCGCCGCGGACCGTGTCGAAAGAAAAGGACAATCGCGAATATGGAAATATATGAAAAATACCATCGAGGATGTTTCCCCGAAGCCACACATATGGAAGCTATTTCGAGGGTTGTCAGGGAACGATCACCACCACGGTGGTCAGAACTGCATCTGTGGTTCGGGAGGACCCCTCCGACGTCTCACAGAACGGCGGACACTGATCAGTCTTGACGCCGAGCCTCTCTTGTGCCGGTCCTCGACCCTCTCTCTCTCTCTCTCCGTCTCTCTATTTCTCCCGGGAGCTTCGCTTCCCTCGGCGACCTCTCCGATTCGGTAATTTATAACCGGTGGCTGCGCCGTCGATTATTTTACCGTCCCTTCGCCGATAATTCTCGGGCGAAGGGACGGTAAATACTCGTCGAAACGTCGCCCGACGCGGCCTAGAAAGGGCCGGGAAAGGGTTCGCGGCAAGTAGCAGGCTTTAACGCGCGATTTTTACGCGTCAAACATGCGTGATCCGGCATTCGGGGTGAAACGGAGTCCCTCGAGTTCTCGAACGAAAAAACGGAGGACCGAGCGAAAGGAACGGGAGAAGAAACGGGAAGAGAACGGAGAGGAGAACGCGGAGGAGAAAGGGGCTGACAAAGACCGGCGAAGTGTCCAGGCTCGGCTCATAATTTTCTAGCGAGCATCGCGGCGACAAGCGACGTGTACGTGTCACGGCGTCGCGACGCACCCGTCCGTCTCGGGCCGAGTCTCAACACTAAAAACGAAACTTTGGCTATCGCATTGCCGCCCTCTCCGTGGCGGCAGCATTCGTCGTCGACGTCGTCGTCGTCGTCGTCGTCGTCGAGACAAAAGTTCTCGCCGGATATTCGAATCGAACGCCGCCGCCGTCGCGGCAAAGTAAAAAAACGTGTACCACGGCGAGAAGATCTCGCAATTCGAGATGTAACGCAACTATTATAGCTCGGGTCGTTCGTTCGTGGAACGCGCGAGCGGTGCTCGTTCGATCTCTCGGTTGTTTTCCTATTTATTTCGAGGAAAATAATTTGGGCAGACCTCGAGAGAGAGAAAGAGAGAGGGAGCGAACCAGCTCGCGCGCGCGCGAACGCGACGCACGCACGCACAGAGACGCGTTTTATTGGGCCAGCGCGGTTGACAGCAAGAGTGACTGCGCTCGTAAAAGCCTCGTATAAATAAAATCGCCGGGAATATAATTGTTGCCGAGAGCCAGCAACATTTCCTCCGCGACGAACTGTAGAACACGGTCAGCTGTCGGCACTCCGTTCTCCAGCCGGCCTTCGACGCTTCGATCGATCGATCGATCGTTCGGTGTCGATCACCTGTAATCGAAAATCATCGCCGCGACCCTGTTTGTTTTCGGGAGAAAGAACTCGGTGGAGGATCGCCGCGATTTTTTGGGCGCCGATGTTCGAATATTCCGACCTCGCTCCCTTTTCGCGCTACCCGGCCGGCGCACTTTTTCCCCGAGCTCGATCTTTTGTGAGCGCGCACGGTTTATGAGTTTGCATAGGAACGCGTTTTGACAGCGGACTCTATAATTCCTTCGGTGATCAATCGATCGGCCGCTTTTGTGCAACGTGTTCTGGCAAAGGGCGTTTTTCTTTGCTTCGCGAAAGCCGGAGAAAGTCGGCCGTTCTTGCGTGAACGTTGCGAAAGTGTACGGCGCTTTGTTGTTTGTTTTATCGCGTTTTATTGTACAATGGGGCTACTCGCTCCGTGATTTGAACATTAATCGACGGACAATGATTGAATTGCGATTGTTAAACGTTTATAGTAATCAACAATTATGTTTCTTTCGATTGTTAGTCGCGATTAACGACCGAAGTAGGAATTTAATGGTAGATTCACGGTGCACGAAAAACAACTGTTTTATAGTAGCTTATAAAAGTAAAATAAGATATTTATTCTGATTTTTAACAAGCGTTGTTGCAATATTTGCCGTGAGTAACATATAAATTGAATAAATAATTCGTAAATGTATCTTTACGGTATGAATAATCGTAAGTTAAAAAATTAGTGACCCGTTAATTGTCAATTACATTTTGTCGTATTTATTACATTATATGTATTGTTATAAATATGATAAAGACAATTCTTAACAGAATTATACGAAAATATCTGTCCTTGAAAAATAAGGTTAATATCCTCGCAAATGTCCCAAAAATCCATTAAAAAATCAGCAATTATCAATTGTCTCTTTCAATCGACAATTGACGATTAATTTCATCGATCGATTAACTTCGACTGTCGATCTTTCGACGATTAATTCCTTCGTTTTCATTGATCATTCGATCAAATTAAAAATTTTAATCGATTAATGTCACTCCATAAAGAATTGTCAGTGAAATTAAAACGTTAATCTTTAAGAATTAACTTCCATCGCAATCTAGTCGTTGAAACCAACTCGCACAATTTAAAACAATTCAAGTATTGATCAGTGCGATAAGCTTTGATTCCACGCGATGGATTGCGGTGACCAATTACTATAAATTCTAATTATATAAATAAATATAAATAATAAATATATATAAATTCTAATTTTCCTTCAGCTTGCAAACAAAAATGAACAATTTCGGAAGAGGGGATGCGATCATTCGAGCCTCGCAGCCCGTTTCTATAATTACTAATAATCGGCCACTGTAAAAATGAGCCGGGAGCTCGAATAAGCTGAAGAAAAATCGATACAAATTTACTGTACCGCGATATCGTAGGATTTTTCGGCAGCGATTTTTCAGCAGTCTGAACGCGTTAAGAAGAACACGTCGAGATTGGAAGCTCCGAATGTAATTCCCGCGAAGCGGCTCCCTTCCGGTTCATCGAAATCGCACAGTATTCCGAACTTCTCGAGCGACGAACCGCAACAGAATCCCGTTAATTCGAATCAGAAGCGGAAGAGGAGGGCGGCGTACCTCGAAGAGACAGGGGTGAGGTTCGATCAGCGAGATAGAAGGTCGGGGGCTCTCTCGCGTTAAGGCGAAATTGTTACTCGACACCCTTGTGTAACGAGAGCCAGGCCGCGGCTATGAAGAAGACCAATGTTCGGCTGCATATAGAGCCGCGGTTCATCGTGTCCCTGAAAACTGAAACCACACCGTGACGCCGGCGCCTACGGTTTTCATGAAAACCGCGCATGGCTTGTCTTTCGGAATTCACGGCGGCTCCGCGAGGAATTCTACGACCTAGCGCTACGAGAGACGATTGGCTCCTCCTCCGTTCCTCGGAATGTATCCGTGCCAACGGAAACTTATCGACGAGAAGAAGAAGAACATCGATTTAACCGAGCGAATGTCGGCCTTTCGATCGCAACGCGTGCGAAGCAGCGAGAACCTAGCAAGACTTTTCAATAAAAATCGAACAGAAACGCCGAGAATTGTCATCGATTTTGAAAGTCTCGCACACCATGTTGCACCGTGCAACACCGTGCAACAGTTCAGGAGGCGAGCCAAATCGATCTTGCAGTCGACCGAAGCCATTTTGTCGACGAAGCGACGCGGCGATCGAACTCCGTTCGAACGCGAAAAATTGCAGGAGAGCTCGCGATAGAAGCGATCCCGCGGACTCCGGCTCGATACCGGCCGCGGATCGACGATTCGACGATCGTTACGAGCGGAAACGGAACGGCGATTTTCCATCGGCGATCGCGATTCCGGCGAACCGGTCGCGTGCGCGCCGCGCGCGTTTAACCCTGAAGAGTTCGGCGTAAAAAGCCCGAAGGACCGCTCGGCCGTTTCGAAACCAATGAGCATCTAATGAAGGTGGAGCTTGGCGAGGAAATCTCCACCTACTCTTAGAATGCTCTATTTCTCTCGGCCACGGAGTGCGTGTCCCGGCCGGCGGACCGCGGGAGCGAGACGCGGGAGGAAAACCGGAGCGCGGGACGGAGAAACGGGACCGGGAGGGAGAGGAAGGTTCGCGGGCGGGGTGCGGGCGGGGAAGGAACGAAGAGGAGAAACAAATGAAGAGGCTGAGGAGGAGATCTTCAAGTACGTTTCAACTTGGCCGAGTCAGTTGGCATCCCGCCGCCCCGGCTAATATGATGACTTTCGTTCGGACACGGTGCTCGCGGTGATCTCGCCACGAATGTGATCGATCGGTTGGTGATTCCTTGTAAAAGCGACCCGCGCACGAGTGACGACCGAGAGCGACGGGGGTGTGTGTGGACGCGACGCCGGGAAGAGTGGGTGATTATCGTGCGAACTCTGGCAGACGAGGCGACGACATCGATCCCGAAAACGCCGTCCTTGCCGACCCGCGATTTGCGGCCGCCGCGGCGAACCAGCCGACGAGAAACTTTCGCGGCCTCCGGGAAGAAGAAGGGAAGAAAGACGGCTCGGGAGGGAAGCATGGCTTCGGGATTGATGCGCGAATAGCACGCGAGAGAGACACTGAACTTCGGACTTCCGAAAACTCGGATCATCCGGCTGGTCGTTCGGCGACTCGAAGAATTCCAAGGTCGCGAGCCGCCGTCGACAAAGCAACGCGATTTTAACGCGGCGCCCGAATATCAAATTCGACGGGAATGCTGATTACGATAATGCCGGCGGAGGGATAGCGATTATCGGAAGTCGAGACGCGGCGGAACGGAGCGGCCGAGCAAGCGGCGAAACGAGGACGGCAATATTTTTGGAGGAGCGCGCTCAGCCGGCACGTGGCGCGGGCCCTTAATTGCTCCGTCACGCTTCAGCTCGACGATGCCTCGGTTCATATACTCCGATGGAAATTACGCGTGAATGCGCGCCTCTCGCTCCCGTGCACCTCCATCCCTCGTGAATAATCGTCGCGCCCTGACGAATGTCCCGACGGGGTCGTCGCGTCTCCGCACACCGTCGCCGGTAGCTCGAAACGCGGCGGACGTCGTCCGCGTTGGACGCTCGCGGGCTCCTTGGATCCTGGAAACGCGTCGGCGAATCGATTAGGCGAGCGACGCGGGACAAACGTTGATCCACGGCGACGCGGATCGATCACTCCGCTTCGTCGGCGCGGCAAAATGTTGTGCGCGAGTTCCGAACAGGAGGCAGGCAACGGCGTGATAGTCTCGCAGGTCCCGAACAGCCACGCGCCGCAGGATTTCACGGTCTCGCGGCTTCTGGCGACGTCGAATCACTCGTTGGGTAAGCATTCGATGCGTCAGGATGCGGTTTCTTCGTCGTGGAACCGCGGGAAACGCGGTTCGCCCGCGGACAACGGCGCGAGCGATTTTAAAGCTGCGGCATCCGAGATTTCTCGCATGCACGGACGTTCGGGACGCTTTTACGATGTCCTTTGAGGAACGCAGGATATTTTGCAAGGAATCACGGTGAACGTAAACTGGATGCCATGGGAAACGACCCTCGCGTCGCGAGATACAGTAATGTCTCTCTAATTGACGCTCGGATTGTCCACAGAAATGGACAGTTTGGGAAGAGGAGATACGATTCTTCGAGCCTTGCGGTTTGTTTTTTATACTTACGAATTGTCAACAATTATAAAAACGGGCCGAATATCCTCTTCCCAAATTGTTCTTCTTTGTGCACAATCTGAGCGTCGATTAGGGAGAATTTAGTGTAGATCGTTCGGCCCCACGTCGTGCCATAATCTCTGCAGTTACGACGTTCTTGTTCGTAATAATTTAACCTTAACCCTTTGCGCTCGAAACCGAATCAACGGAAGATTTAAAGTAGTTCGTCCGATCCACGGTATTTTTATTTTATGTAACCTGCTGCATTTTATACGTATTAAAATTGAATTTTGCGATTCGTGCAACAATTACGACTTTAACAGTTCTTTGCATATAAACAAATTGATTGGTTGATACAACTTTTTTCGGAACGCGATGTAGCAATTTTTAATACCGCCTTGGGGTCGTCGCTCGAGTGTAAAGGGTTGGAAGAGAGCGAGAATCCGTGTCTATCGCGTGTCCACGATTTCCTTAAAAGATTAAACGTCGACGACGAGAGAACAGTCTTCGAACCCGACTCGTGGAAACGGAATACAGTAATGTCTCCCTAACTGACGCTCAGATTGTGCACAAAAATGGACAATTTGGGAAGAGAGGATACGATTATTCGAGCCTTGTTGCTCGTTTTTTTATGGTTATCGATTGTCAATAATTATAGAAACGAGCCGCAAGGTTCGAATAATCGTATCTCCTCTCCCCAAATTGTCCATTTCTGTACACAACCATTACTGTACAGTAATGTCTTCCTTACTGACGCTCGGATTGTCCACTAAAATGGACAATTTGGGAAGAGGAGATACGATTATTCGAGCCTCGCGGTTTATTTTTATAGTTATAAATTGTCCACAATTATAAAAACGAGCCGCGAGGCTTGAACAATCGTATCTCCTCTTCCGAAATTGTCCATTTTTCAGCATAATTTGAGCGTCAGTAAGGGAGACATTACTGTAACAATCGTACACGGCGGACGATCGCTAAAAATCCTCGACACGAATCGAAGTTAACCTCTTGCCATACTTCGACGAGTCCGACACGTGAGGGAGATTTCTAGTAATAACTTGTTAAGTATGAATGCTATTCCGTTCTTNCAATTTTTAATACCGCCTTGGGGTCGTCGCTCGAGTGTAAAGGGTTGGAAGAGAGCGAGAATCCGTGTCTATCGCGTGTCCACGATTTCCTTAAAAGATTAAACGTCGACGACGAGAGAACAGTCTTCGAACCCGACTCGTGGAAACGGAATACAGTAATGTCTCCCTAACTGACGCTCAGATTGTGCACAAAAATGGACAATTTGGGAAGAGAGGATACGATTATTCGAGCCTTGTTGCTCGTTTTTTTATGGTTATCGATTGTCAATAATTATAGAAACGAGCCGCAAGGTTCGAATAATCGTATCTCCTCTCCCCAAATTGTCCATTTCTGTACACAACCATTACTGTACAGTAATGTCTTCCTTACTGACGCTCGGATTGTCCACTAAAATGGACAATTTGGGAAGAGGAGATACGATTATTCGAGCCTCGCGGTTTATTTTTATAGTTATAAATTGTCCACAATTATAAAAACGAGCCGCGAGGCTTGAACAATCGTATCTCCTCTTCCGAAATTNGTTTATAAGTTATAAATTGTCCACAATTATAAAAACGAGCCGCGAGGCTTGAACAATCGTATCTCCTCTTCCGAAATTGTCCATTTTTCAGCATAATTTGAGCGTCAGTAAGGGAGACATTACTGTAACAATCGTACACGGCGGACGATCGCTAAAAATCCTCGACACGAATCGAAGTTAACCTCTTGCCATACTTCGACGAGTCCGACACGTGAGGGAGATTTCTAGTAATAACTTGTTAAGTATGAATGCTATTCCGTTCTTTTCAGTCTGAATAAAACTCTGATTTCTCGTCATCAATATTCAAACATTTCGGAAAAACGTAGACACACAATGAATATAAATTGTCTTTTTTCTTCTTAGGAATTATTACAGTGGAAAAGCTTCTAATTGAGCCGTTTATTTTGAAAGTGGCATAAGTCACTTTACCGTAATGAAAAGTGGTGATTTTTTAATGTTTATACGAAATGATTTATACTGAGAAAAATATCAGTATCCTGAGATAACAAATACAAGTAAATCTTCTCGAAAGTTAGCATCCATATTTTTAAACGTGTTAAAACGCAAACCCTTAAATATATCGACTTAAAAACAAAGTGACTTATGCCACTTTCAAAATAAACGGCTCAATTATCGAAACTGCGAAGAATATGGCACGGCAAGGGGTTAAGGGGTTGAAAACGAAATGGGCGCTCGTTGAGTAGACACACAATGAATATAAATTGTCTTTTCTCCTCTTAGCAATTATTACAGCGGAAAAACTTCTAATTATCGAAACTACGAAGAAAATGGCACGGCAAGGGGTTAAGGGGTTAAAAACGAAACGGGCGCTCGTCGAGTCGAACCGCGAAAATACAGGAAGTATCGTATCGTGCGAGAGGGTCCTCGGTGCCGGAGGATCGCGCGCTAGGGTCATAGGTAACGATTTCACGATGGAATCTCATAACGGTTTACGTAATTTGGTTTACGTAACGCGACGAAATCGCGGGGCGAGCCAGACGAGCGTCGCGGAGCCGTCGATGCGGTTCCACGATGAGCTCACGAGGCGTTTGATTCCATCGAAATCGCGCGTTTCCAGTCATGCTGTTCGCATTTATGCCGCCTCGATGACCGGCCGAGCACAGTAACAGTCATTCAAGAATAGCCGCGGCTCCGCGGCCGTTCCTCGTCTCGCCGCCCGTCCCCGTAACGGCTGCTTTTTCGCCCCCGACTTTTCGAATGACGGAACTCGTTTATCGCGGCGTGCGGCGTCCCAAGAGAAACCACCTTTATGTCTCTCTTTGTGCTTTGTAGAGTGCAACGAGAGCGCCGCGACGGCCGCCGCGAACAGAAGGCCCCGGCGAAGCAGAACAACGTTCTCCGCGCAACAGTTAGCCGCCTTGGAGAGGGTCTTCGAGAGGACGCACTACCCGGACGCGTTCGTTCGCGAGGAACTGGCCACCAGGGTCTCCCTGTCGGAGGCGAGGGTCCAGGTAAATTGTCTTTCGATCGGCGCGATCATCGCCGCGTGTCGCGTCCTCGCGAAAGCCAACGATTCCCGGATTCGCGCGATCCGACGATTCCGCCGCCATCGTAATTCGAAGGGAGATAGAGCGACAGGGGTTGAAATTTCTGCTGAAAAAAACGAGGAAGAAAAATTCTCCCGAACTCTCGGATCTCGTGCTCGAAACGCAATCGCGTGCACCCCGAAACGCCAGACCGCGCAGACCGGGGCAAAGAGCGCGACGCCGATGCAGTTTCGCGAAACTATAGAGAGAGAGAGAGAGAGAGAGAGAGAGAGAGAGAGAGAGAGAGAGAGAGAGAGAGAGAGAGAAAAAAAGGGAGAAAGAGCTGGCCGACCTTGGACGGGCGCGGTAGCCTTTTGAAGACGCGCTTCCACTTTGCGAGGAGGAAGAATGTCCGTCAGAAAAAAGTATCGTAGCGGCGCGGCGGTGGGCCAGGTCCACACGTGTTCCCCGGGATCATGGTGGGTAGCTGCGAAAGGAAGGACGGACCGTGCCGAAGGGAGGAAAGGAGCGGAGACGGAGAAAGAGAGTGAGAGAGAGAAAGAGAGAGAGAGAGGCGGCGAGGGAAAAAAAAGAGGGAACGGGGAAGGAGGGTGGAGGTCGCGGACAGCTAGGCAGAAAATCGAAGGAGACAGGTTGTCAGGGCAAGGAGCTATGATTAGCTTGCGTCGGGATAGTTGCGTCGTTCCAGTAGCAGCATCTGTGCTTGGCATACGGCGTCGGATATGATGCGCCGCTTGTATCCCGCACGTGTGCGATCCCCGAGGCCCATGGTACACGATCACAAGGAGAACACACTTTCGGTTGCCCGTGTCGATCCCATCCGTTACTACCACTACCAGCACAACCGCGAGGAACAGCGTCTGCCGCGGATGTCTGTCTGTCTGTCGGTCTGTCTGGCTGTCTATCTGTCCGCGAACCGTACGCCTGCCAGAAGCCGTCACGCTGTCCCGTCTCGTCTGATCTCCCCGACTTCGTCCTCGGCTCCTCTATTTCTCCCTACGATCGGCCGAACACCGAGCATCGGCCGGCGGAACCCTTGCAGACGAGCCCGAACGCGACCCGGACCGGTCTCGCTATTTGGCAACCGGCTCGAAACTGTACCACCCCGGAAATCCCTCCGTAAGGTCACGCGAAGCAAGAGAGAAGCGAGAGAAATTGTTCGAGCTCCGCGAGGCTCTCCGAATTCTTGCGATTCCGACGCGGGAACAGCAGTCGCTGTTTCTCGCTGTTTCGAAAGAAAAAAGATGGATTGTTGTATGAGGGTAGTTTTCGAGTTTGCCGAGAAAATGGCGCCAAGGGTGGCCAAGCGTGTCTGACACGGTGCGCGTTTGTTGCAGGTATGGTTTCAGAACAGACGCGCGAAATTCCGGCGGAACGAGAGGAGCTCGGCGATCAGTCGAGGCGTTTCGTCGACCAAGGAGATGGAGGCCGCGTTGCCCCTGCGGCCGATTAGGGTCGCGCACCCCCAGGAGAACAACCCGGAGACCCTGCAGACCGCTCAGATGACCCAGTACCCGTACGGCGAGTACTGGAGGTCCTCGCAACACTATGCCTCCATGCAAGCGCCCTCGACCTGCCACGGGCTGATCAACGGCAATCTGGGGAACATGAACATCCCCTCTTATCATCAGACGGAGATACACGGGGGGCTGGAAGGATCCGCGATGAACAGCCTGAACGCGCTCAGGTTCAGAACGCACCCTTACGGTGCCACGTACCCCGCCATGCACGCGAGCATGTGAGAGAAAGCGTTTAGGATCGCGACGCCCGTTGCAACCCTTGTCGCACCTTCGCGATTGGAAGGAGATGCGGCGCAAGTTGCTTGGTTCTATCTCTCGGGAACACGTGTACCGCAGGTCTACAACAGGTTTTCCAGTGAAACTTCACCGGAATTTCGTGGAATTTTTCGCGGGAATATTTATCGACGATCGAAGCGTCCGGGTGCGAATAGAGAAGTGGAGAAAATTGTGGCTTGCGTAGCTTCTTCGTCTCGCGACCGCGGATCTAGCTAGATCGAATACCAAAGCTTTCAATTCGACTGTGCGGAAGGATGACGGAGCACGGAGGACCAATCGATCGCAATTGCATGCAACGTTAGTGTTTAAGCATCGAATACAGGGTAAAAAAAAAAGAGTAATTCTAAAAAGAAAGATTATTTTGTAGAACTGATATAGATTAATAAATGGTAGAAATCGTAAATATATATTATATGTTATCGATACAAGAAGTATGGATATACAGCAAAAATGGTACTCTAACGCTACGGAAATGATTAATAATAACACGTTGTACACACGCTGACGTTAACGCTGAATACGGCGGTAGTAGACAAAAGGAATATTACGTATTGTATATGAATAGAAAAAACGAAATTACGGAAGAACGGGTCGTTTATGCGTTGCGGCAATTAACGTTGCAGTCGGAGAACTCTGCGTCCCCTTGTGGACAGCGTTTTAACATTGGCACATGAAAATTAGAATACCAATTCTTTTTTTCTTTTGTTTTTTTCAGACGCATTGGTCGGATACGTGCGTCCGTGGCGACATTAAACAAGCTACGATATCCCACGTAAAAAGGTTCCAAAAATCTGTTCTTATACGGTATATGTTAATCGTCCGTCCAAAAGTTCTTAAAATATACAAATACATTTCTAGCATTATACAGTTACTTGTACGTTCTGCACGGCATTGCTCCAATCTACCTTGGATGGAACCAGATAAAACGCGGGGGCTATTTTGCTGCCGCATGGACATTGATTGCCCGCTATCCAACTGAACGAGCCCAGTTTCGCGCTGCATTTCGGGCAGTTCAGTTTCCCCTCGACGTTATGCGTTATATCGGGCATCCAAGCCATCGGTTCGACGAACAATATTTTCGTACAAAACTCTACCGGCTCGTGCTCGTCCTTCTTTGGTAGTTCCAAAGGCTCGTGCACAGCTTTTGATTGTTTGGATGTTCTCTTTGTACTTATGTGCCTCCATATCTGTTTCTCCCTCGGGGCGTGTGGCAAGATGTTGCTGGCGCTGGCGACTATTCGCCGGCATTTCTTGCAACGATAGACCGTAGGCTCTGGACGTACCGTGGCAAGCGCTGGATCTGGTCTCACCAGGTCCATGCAGTCCTGCGGTAAAATCTTCGCTTTCCGGACCTTGTCCGCTGCGATTTGCAGTCTGTACATTTTGAACCGTATGCTGGTGCTATCTATCTCGAAGTCCATGTCTTCGTACAGTTTCAGCTGGGCTACGAAGCCACGATTCGGTCCAATCATCGGTCTCTTCTCTCTCACGATCTCGAACGTGTCGCAGTAACTTTTCCTGTATTTTTTCATCAAATAGGCGATCACCAATGTGGCTGATCTGGAGACACCGAGATAGCAATGCACTAATATTCTGCTATTCGATTCTAGAGCATGATTTATGAACTCGTAAGATATTCCGAAGTGAGTAAGAAGATCTTCGCGTGGCATATCAGTAATTTGAATATACTTGATGGTTAAATTAGGTAGAAGCTCTGGAATCTGTCGTGGTATCGGACAAGAATCTACTGTAAGTATATAGTCTATCTTCGCTTCCCTCAGCCATTCGATATCCGTAGCGGCTGAAAGATTTCCAAGATATAAACCAGGATAGACCTCGCTGTAACTGGCAGGACCCGGCGTGAAGTCTTCTCTGCACAGCTTGTGATCTGCCTTTTCTGCCATGTCGGTCATTCTGGAAGGAGACATAAAGCTACGAAACGTGTGTCCTTAACCTTAGATGGTTAGGTCAAGTTGTAAATAGTTTCTATTTCTGAATAAAAACTGCGATGATACGACAAGTCATTGATAAAGGTACCATCGCTGTTTACGTTATCGATAATTACAACTCGACCTGACTAATGGAATTTCTAAAAAAAACAATAAATAAACTTGCCAAACAATAGACTAGCCCCCGCACGAAGGTAGAATATCCAAAATTTGACGATCTATTTACAAGGCATGCACTAAGTGCATATCAATTTTGTATTACCTCGAAGCAGTACCGTGAATCAAAAAGGAATTACGGTAAAAGAGTTGCTTGACAGTAAGCTGTTGTCAAACATATTTGCCTGAAAGAATAACTATGTATAATGTTACGGTAAGAAAGCTTTTGTTATATTGAGTTCACATATTCTAAAGGTTTCTATTCTATGAGAAACGTATGTCAGTTTATTTTTAGCAAACATAATACGGTAAACAACAGAAATATTTTTACGTTCACAAAACAGAGCTTCGAGACGAAGTCCTTAGTTAGTAGTTATTGACACGTGGTCACGATGGCGCTTCAGTGCCATCGACCGCCGTTCATATTTTTTACGGCACTATCCTCAAAACAAAAACTGAAATTACTCGACACAACACTTTCGCAGATTATCTTCCGATTGAGAAGCGGTGATTAAAAATACATCTGTTGAATAAAGTTCTTATTGAAGTACTCACAGCTAAGTCACTTTTTAGATTCCAATAGAAACGATCTTAAGGAAATCAGTGCAGATAGCGAGATAACAATGTTTCGTAATCATTACGTTCACGCCGATATCAAAGTTCGATAATGCATATAAATCAGAATACATACAATGCTTATTGCTTTAGAAGTTAGATCTAGTAATTGCATATAATTATTTTACAATGTCCAAAGAAGTGAATCAAATTCGAAATTCAAAATATTCTATGTTTGTATGATTTTGTGACTTGCGAATATATTCTTATCACAATCTGCATCAATTTGATCTAAGTTCATACAGAGATACAGAAGAGGATAAAAAGAGACTTAATTATTTCACACGTATCATTATGTGCGAGATATTTAATTGAATCATTGGTAATACATATTGTCCGATACCATGAGAAATGAACTGCGCGACTAATCGTTTTACATTTAATAAACGTTTCCATGATCGTGTGCAGGTACATAATTGTAACAAAGAAAGTCTGTCCAACACGGTTTTGAGCGACAATGTGCGTATGTACTTTCGAAAAAGATTACGGAACATATTGTGCGACCACGTATGCCGGAAGTGACGCGTAGTCCAATCTCCACATCATACGGAAGAGTCGCAAGAATATTGCTCGTACAGTCTTGCCAAGCTACTGCGCCCACCAGTCCCGTGTTTCTCTAAATTTCTCCCTCTCCATCTTTATTCCTCTGTCTCTATCTACTCAACTATTCTATCGGTCACTTGCGTGCGCGCACGTGTGTATACGTGAGTGAATGGGTTATTTTTTGATTTTTGAATAAAACAAGATGCTGATCTCGCAGGAGGTAATCTCGAAAGCAGAGGAAATCGCAGACCAGGTGAATTTTTAAACGATTCCGCTTAATTTCTTTCTTCTTAAATCCGTCGTGCTGTTTTAGCATAGTAATCCTCGATTAGAAAACCAGCAGAAATCCTGTAGGAACACAGGTGTACTCCTGTCAACGTCATCGCGGCAGGATCGCCTATATACAATCCATATTTCATTTCGAATCGGTTTTCCGTTTAATCATTCATCTCCACGCGCATTTTACATTGTTATCACGCATTGTAAATGTTCTTATATTGTAAATTGTAAGCGAAAAAATTAAAGGTTATGCACTGTCACGGTGATAGAATATATGCCGCAAATATCGTTGTTGCAACCGTTCATTCAATAACTTTCAAACAATCGTAATCTTTCAATTAATCGAACGATATTCTCTTCCCTAATGCAATTTGCTCTCTCCTTGAACTACTAGGATTTCTTTAACATATTCATAAGATATAAAACTTTCATCGTTATTTACTTTCTCTTTTGATGTTTCTCTTGCTTTTCATGGTTTGTGGTACACTTTCACAGACCTACTTTGAAATATTGTTGCCATATTCCCATATTGTTTCATTTATTATATATTCTTTATGTAACAGGTAATTCGCAATGGAAAACACATATTGCCAACTCTGGCAAGAGTTTGCCTCATAGCCACATTTTTGGAAGATGGATTGAGAATGTGGTTTCAATGGTCGGAGCAAAGGCAGTTTATGGACAATACATGGGGCTGCGGTAGTTTCCTAGCTACAATATTTGTCCTGATCAATTTAATCGGACAACTCGGAGGTTGTGTGATGGTTATTGGAAGATGGAAAGTCAGCATCGCTTGCGGAATCCTGTTCTTCATAGTTGTCCTGCAAACATTAGCTTATAACATTATATTGGATGTAACTTTCCTGTTCAGAAACTTAGCGCTCATAGGTGCTCTTCTCCTTGTTCTTGCCGAATCAAGAGTCGAAGGTAGATCATTATTTGCTGGTGTACCACGTCTTGGAGACAATAAGCCTAAGAATCTACTTCAGTTGGCTGGCAGAATTTTGTTGGCATTTATGTTTACAACTCTGATTCGCATTGAAATATCGTTCCTTCAAATAATGCAAGATATCCTTGGAAGTATTTTGATGGTATTTGTGACTATCGGATACAAAACCAAACTCAGCGCGCTGTTGCTTGTGTTGCTATTATCCGCGCTTAATCTCTACCACAATGCATGGTGGGCCATTCCCGAACACAAAGCTCTTAGGGATTTCCTTAAATACGACTTCTTTCAGGTAATTTCTCGAATATTTTGCCGCATCTGTTCGCATCTATTCCATTGAACTTTCGTTTAAAACTATTCTATTTGTTTTCAGACATTGTCGGTGATCGGTGGCCTTTTAATGATAGTCTCGTTAGGACCCGGAGGTGTATCGATGGATGAGCATAAGAAAGAGTGGTAAACGGTCACAACGTTGCCCGAATGCGTATCATTACTTTGTCAGAATCATTCAGTAAAAAAGTCTCCCATTCCTATTCCTTTCTACGCTCAACTGAATTTACAATAAGTTTACCGATTCTTTTGGATGAAATCTGTAATGTACACGATTGTGACTTGTTTAATTCAGATAAAGGCATTGCTAAGGTATTGTTATGTACTTTAAAATGTCTTACGTTCAAATACACGGAATTACAGAAAGAAACAGAAGAAATTTCAGGATAGTAAGATTAATGTTTAAGACATAAACAGAAAGAAGACAACGCCAAGACTAATTTATATTACGAAGAACGGCCTTGTACATAAGACACTACGTTTAATGACAAGACGTGTGTTCTTCCATGAAAAAAAAAAAATACAACATTAACTGATTAAATTTATAGAAGATAGAGTAATGAAAAGTTTTCAAGATTTTTATACGATTAAATTATTGTAAATAAATGTTCCTTTTCAGACTTTTCGTTGGTAGTTCTCTCTAGACAAATAATTACTATTAATTACCAAATATAGATCCTTCCCATAATTAGATCTTCTAAAATAAACCGATCTCTAAATAGGCTGCAGGTAAACTTACGCGATCGGAGTAGCGAATAACTAAATTCATTTACATTGTATGTATGACGTTCTGTGTTACACTGTCTTGCATTTAATTTGAAAATACTGAAATTTTCATCAATATATAATTTTCAACAAAGATGAGGATAAAAAACGGATACAAAAGGCCACCTATCGACAAAGGTACAACTATTTTGACTGCAAAACCTTATGCATATGTTTTACGGTCATCGTATCGCAAAGACAGATGCGATTATTGTTTGCAAAGGTATTTCAAATTAAATTATTTTTAATTGTTGGCATCCATTTTTCCAATTATTTTTAACTTGGCATCCGTTACTCTGTAAATCATTGTTCCCAGCGACAACTAGCTATCATTATATGAATTATTTTACAAATTCACTTGTGATTATTAAAATATTAAAAATAGTCTTCGATCCTCTTCCAATTAATTTAACTAACATAAACTGATGACAAAAGCACGTAGTAGCGGTGAATTAACTCGTGTAGGTTATCTTTTAATATCAGTCGTGTCATATGTACGGTACTTTAATTTTTACTATTGTCTATAAAGTATGGGTAATTGTTTTACCTAAATTGAAATTTTAATACACAAAATCATTGGCGAAATTTTATTCCGTTTCCGAAGAAAATCGACGCTTGCATTTCGATCGAACCTTTTCCCGTATCTTTCTTACGACTACAACATGTAATTTTTTGACGGATTAACATCTGATTCTTTCGTTTGTAATTTTATATAAAAGATGAACGGGTGTGAGAATTCCATAAAGAAAGGAACAACTATTTTTACCGCTAAACCATTTGCTTTTGTTCTTAGTTCAAAGCATAGGACTAGTCGATGCGACTGTTGTTTAAAAAGGTATATTTAAATAAACGAAGGAAAATGTTACATTTGTCCGACTAACATTCCTTCTTGTTTTCATTATAAAATTTGTATGACATTTTAATTTGTATCTGTATGTTTTAGTGGTAAACTTTCAAAATGTTCTGCTTGTCAATGCGTTTATTATTGCAATCGTTCCTGCCAACAAGACGCTTGGTCTATACACAAAACAGAATGCCCAAAATTGAAGAAAGTTTTACCAAAAATTGTACCAGACATGGCGCGTCTTATGACACGTGTAATCATAAAGCTAAGTCGAGGTGGAGGTGACGAGACTGGATATTACAGTGAGAAAAGTTACAGAAAATTCAAGGATCTAATGTCGCGTAAGTATATATTAGTAATAATGGATAGGATCGGAAATATTTGCTCTTCTTCCCTTTATTATTATCATTAATTCCCTTGTTTCGTCAGATTATTCGGACATAAAAAAAGATGAGAAGAGAATGGAACATTTTATGTGCCTGTACAACATTTTGAATGAATTATTTGAAGATGAACCTATTCCAAGCAATGTTGAATTATTGGCCATCTATGGCAGAATTTGTATTAACTCTTTTAATATATTTGACCTGGACATGAACAGTATCGGTGTCGGCATTTATTTAGGACCTTCCATCATTGATCACAGTTGTTTACCAAATGCTGTAGCCACTTTCGAAGGTTCTACCATAATTATTAGAACGATACAAGATCTTCCTTGTTTGGATTGGTCTCAGGTAAAAATCTTTCTCTTTTATAAACTACAATGGCGATTGAATTCTAATCGTACGTATATGTAGATAAGACTATCGTACATCGACGTACTGAAAACAACAGAAGATAGACGAACGGAACTTCAGAGTTCCTATTACTTTTGGTGTAACTGTAAAAGATGCGAAGAACCAGAACTAACAACCAGAGCCGTAATGTGCTCGAACAAAGCTTGTATGCATCCTTGCTCACCTGACGAAGGGATATGCGAAAACTGCGGTACAGTGTTCCCAGATAAATTTAAAGAAACGTTTGACGAGATATCCGACTTCACTGCCTACCATTTGCAAAGTATGAAGGATACGGCCTGTATCCTTTTCGAAATTAGTAACGAACCATTATATCGATAATCCTGACCGATCGTAAAGCATATTTTTCTTATTAGAAACTTCAGACTTGGATGTTAGCAAGGTGTGCTTAAAAAAGCAAGAGGGTGTCCTGCATCCGCTGAACGTGCAACACGTGCAAACTCTGCAAAGTGCTTTCGTTTCTGCCATAAGTTTGCAACATTGGGAGGAAGCTGAATCTTATGCGAAAAGACTAATTAATGGCTATTTGTAAGATATATAATCAGTAGTTACATAATATATAATATATATAATCAGTAGTTTAGATCGATCCGGCACGCGAATGAAAAACTAGTATACAATGTTTGTGTTTCAGAACATATTACGGTGAAATTCACCCGTTGACCGGAATACTGTATCTCATGATGGGAAAAATTCAATTGTACGTGGAAAAATCGAAACAGGCTTTGGAGACTTTGAAAATAGCTAAGTCTATACTAATAATAACACACGGAGAAAAGCATACTTTGGTTCGCGAGAGTTTGAAGCCTCTGCTTCATCAAGCTATCATGGAAGTAATGTGAAGTGTTTATAATCAGTACTTGTGATAATAAATAATTTGTGTTATTTAAAAACACGTACAACCACCGTGTGTTCCATCTTTCCAATTCGAAACAATTTTTAAAAGTTTAAAAATTGCGCCGTGTGTCGCAAGTAACGCCTCTTGCGACGAAATCACGAACTGGAATTAAGAGGTCCGTACAGCGCCAAAGCACGTAGTGGGAAAACGTTCAAACTGTTCGCCAAAATTATCCGCAGACGATAATTCCTAGACTTCACCAGATGGCGCCACCGTGCAGTTCCAAAGGATAATCGACTCCGTCGGTAAAATTGCCCAACAGTTTGAGCGTTTTGCCATTGCATGTTTTGGCGCTGTATGGACCCCGTAATTCTAGTTCGTATTTTCACCGCGCGCGGCGCCACTCGCCACAAATGGCGCCATTTTCGAACTGTTAACGATCGCTTCGAGGTGGGAAAATGGAAAATGAAACAATTACACGCACTTTTGAATGATACAAATTTATTATCACAATAAATATTATTAATAATAATTTAATATTAATAATATAATATTATTATATTATTTATTATTATAATAATATAATAATAATATTATTATTAATAATATTTATTATTAGTAATATTATATATAATAATATTAATATTATTAATAATTATCACAATAAATATTATTATTAGATTTATTATCACAATTCTCGATTACCATTTTATAATAACTGGCATCATAGCACTTACAATCACCGAATTCTCTCGATTTCCAACTCGAACACGTACAAACGTTCAAGAGACGGTGGGTAATGAAACGCAAAGAAGGCGGATTACTTGAAAACGTTTTTTATTTCAAAGAGTATCAGAGTTCAAGGAGCGAACAAAAAGATGCGGAAAGGGGGTTCCTTATTAGCTAGCAACAGAGAGAGAAACACTCGTTATCATCGATGGAACTGATATTATTTCTGAGCGTTTTTATTAGGTTTACCATGATTTTTTTTTAGTCGATACAATGATTTCTGTCGTATACTGTCGCGCGCATCGAGACGTGACTTCAACTTCCTTTTCGTTTCGTCGAAGAATATATATGTAACATCTTTCTTAATTTTCATCTCTGGTGTGTGTATGTGTGTGTGTGTGTGCTTGTCCGCCAAAGCGGGGGTGGGGGAACAAGCTCTCTGTTCGGTGAAACGTTGCGACTAAAAAATCTGTCCTCTCGCGAGAGTCAAAAGCCCCGTAACGTCGAGAGACACCTGATCCTTGAGCTTCCGGATCCGCGTCGGCCTTTTAAATAGGAACCGGCGATCCAACGAGAATTTCTGATTCGAGTCGACACGGCGTCGCTCGAACGATTTTAAAGGTCGTCGGTTAGTTAATATTGTATAAAAATGTCGCGCGCGCGCTCTCTCTCCTCGTGAAATACGCAAGAAAAGCAAGTTGAAACCTCGCTCAACGGGTGGAGAAGAGAAACAATAAATGCGTTTATTTAATCATCGATTGCGAAACCAACCACCCGCGTGGGTGACGGTTCGCGCGCCGCCGTCGCGCGAAGAAAAGAAAAAAAAACCACACATCACGGCCGAATTTCCGTTCGTTTTTCGTGTTATCGTATCGCTTCTGTGTATTTCTTTTTTATTTCTTGTTTTTTTCCCTACGTTTTTCTTTCCGTTTCTCGCGCGCCGGTTTTTCTTTCTTTTTTCTTTGTTTCTTTGTTTCGTATCCTGAAAACGGAAAAAACGCGGGGTGGTGGACACGATCGGAGATTAAAAAGGATCGAGCGGAGAGGGGGAGCGAGGAGGAGGAGGAATATGAATATATAATATCTTAATATCGTGTGTGTATCCATAAATGTTAAACGTTATTTTCTTATTCTTTCGTTTCTCTCTTTCGTTCTCTTATTTCTTCTCGTTTTACACGCCCGTTTTTTTTTCTCCCTTAAATCGTCATTTAGTCGACATCTCTCTCTTTCGTATTATCTTCTTTTGACTCGTTTTCGTTTCTTTTTTATTAAATGTTAGGTAGAGCTTAATAAGGGGTCGCCCGGAGGCGCGCTCACAGCGAACGCTCCAGGCGCACTTTTCTCGTATACTAGCTGTGCCGAAACGCACTTGTACTGGTCGCATGGACGACGGAAATAGATCGGCTGAGGATCGGCCCTTGAGGGATCGGAAACAACACGGAAAAACTCGGTGGTCCCGTCTCGTCCCGATTTCTTTCTTTCGTTATCGTCCCGGTTTCGGTCCCGCATCTCCGTGTCCAGATCTTTTGAGGAGGATACCATCGAAAAACAACGGCCGCCGCGGAGAGAAAACGTTCAAGGAAATATATAACCGTGCGTGTACGCGCCGCGGACAAAGGTGTGAACACAAAAAAGAAAAAAAGACGGGAGAAGAGACGGATTCGAAAACGATGATCGCGTCGGTGTGATCCCCGGTACTATATTAAAAGAAGAAAAAACAACAAAAAGACCCTAAGAAAACTCTGTCCTCAATGGACGATCCTCAGTCGATCGTTCCGCCCGCGACATATTATTTAACAACAGAATTTAATCACCTAATCTTTCGGAGGATACTCGTTATTCTCATCATCGCCGCGCCTTCGTTTATACAATAAATGGATATCTTTTTTTTTTATTCTTTTCCGCCTACGTGCTAACTAAGAAATCGCCGAGGGCCGCAATTCATTAGAATAAGTCGTCGACAAACCGTTAATTCGATGATGATGATGATAATAATAATAATAATAATAATAATAATAGTAATAAATCGACGGAAATCGCCGGGCGTTCGAATCGACTATCGTCTTTCCTTAAAAGTGAAAAGTAAAAACACGTTCAACACGAACGGAACGCGGTCAATAAATTTCCATACGTCCGCAATTATCAATAATCGTCGTCGACGTGACAATAATACAATTGCAATGCGGGCACCGCAAATATCAATGATAAAAATAGCGATAGTCGTAACGTCAATAATAGCAATAATAATAATAATAATAATAATAGCAATAATAATAGTAATAATAATAATAATAATAA